AGATAGATAGATAGATAGATAGATAGATAGATAGATAGATAGATAGAAAGGAAGAAAGGAAGGAAGGAAGGAAGGAAGGAAGGAAGGAAGGAAGGAAGGAAGGAAGGAAGGAAGGAAGGAAGGTGGGAAGAGATAGATAGACAGATGATAGATGATAGATAGATAGATAGATAGATAGATAGATAGATAGATAGATAGGAAGGAAGGAGGAGGGAAGAGATAGATAGATAGACAGATGATAGATGAGAGAGAGAGATAAACAAATAGATGATAGGTAGATAGATGGATAGATAGGAAGGAAGGAAAGTGGGAAGATAGATAGATAGGAAGGAAGGAAGGAAGGAAGGAAGGTGGGAAGAGATAGATAGATAGATAGACAGATGATATATGATAGAGAGATAGATAGATAGATAGATAGATGATAGATAGATAGATAGATAGATAGATAGATAGATAGATAGATAGATAGGAAGGAAGGAAGGAAAGTGGGAAGATAGATAGATAGATCATAGGTAGATTGATGGATGGATGGATAGATAGATAGATAGAGATAGAAAAAAGAGAGAGATGATATACGATAGGTAGATGATAGGTGAGTGAATGAATGAATGAATGAATGAATGAATGAGCATACATATATAGAATAGAGAATAACAAAATTGGAAGGGACCCTGGAGGTCTTCTAGTCCAACCCTGCTCAGGCAAGTGACCCTATATCCAGCAATGCTGCAGCCCTCTCTCTGTTTATTTTCTAAGCCTCTGGACCAAGTCCACGTGGTATATTTTCCCCTTTCCAAAGACCTTCGTTTGTCTCTCACACCTGAAATCAGGCACAGGGACCGAGACCAGCAAGCATAAAAGGAAACGGACATTTGAGTCATGAGCATTCTAGTCCTCATGAATGCCCAGAGAACGTAATAGGAGAAGAACTGCACTCACAGGTTCATCACACAACACCTGTTCATCATCCTGGGAAGACAGCTTGCTCTCATCTCTCCTAAATAACACAAAAGGGACAAAATTAATCTCTGGACAGGTGAATCGCTTAAGTGAGTTTTGTTATTGTGGTCCACAAAAATAACCCTGGAATTATCCATTCAACTCAAGTGGACACCATGACCTCACATTCCCAAATCCCAAAGCAGTTTCCCCCCCATTTGGGCCTTTTCCAGCTAACTTGACTTTTGCTAAGTCTTATGGGAAATGAAAGCCTCCGATCCTTGGATTTCCTTGTGGTCTCCTATTCAAAGATTAACCAGTTCAAAGATTAACCCAGCCCAGTTCAGTTGAGCTCCCAAGCCTAATAAAACCAGCCAGGTGTTGGTAAGAAAGGTCATTGATGGGTCTTTGATTAGGCTGTTGTTTACTGCTTGATTATTTGTCTGAGCTGGTATTTCCTTGATTGTCCCACTAACACGGACAATTCTAACACTGACGATGTTACCTAGTCAGGTCGTGAAATGTTTGCAAGAAAATAACCAATCTCAAAGAGCAAACAAGGACCTCACAGACTTCCTCCTCCTCCTCCTCCTCCTCCCCACTTACAAACCCCACTCCCTTCTAGCACTGATGATGTTATCTAGTTGGGTAATGAAACGTCTGCAAGAAAACCACCAAGCTCAGCGAGCCCCAAGGATCCACAGTCCTCCTCCTCCTCCTCCTCCTCCTCCTCCTCCTCCTCCTTTTCCCCCACTTTTTGCAAACCCCACTCCCTTTTAGTACTAATGATGTTACGTAGTATGGTAATGAAAGGTCTGCAAGAAAACCACCAAGCTCAGAGAGTACCAAGGACCCACAGTCTTCCTCCTTCTCCTTTTTTTCCATTTTTTGCAAACCCCGCTCCCTTTTAGCACTGATGATGTTATCTAGTTTGGTAGTGAGACGTCTGCAAGAAAAGCACCAAGCTCAGAGAGCAGCGGTCCTCCTCCCCCCTCCTCTTCCTCTCTGCAAACCCTGCTTCCTTCTATCTTAAAAAAAAAAGCCTCCAACAGCTGAGAGGAGGGGAACAAGCTGCGTGTGCAACCCCCCCCACCCAACCAGTAGTGACTGAGATAGGATTCCCGCTACTATCTCCCATCGGGAAGGAGATCGAGCCAGCTGCGCAAACAGGCTGAAGAACAGTTTTTATCCATAGGCTGTCGGACCAGCAGTGGGATCCTACCTGTTCTACTACCGGTTTGGTGATCGCGCACACACCCCCCTAACGCTTGCACACCTAATGTGCGTGTGCAGGTTTTTCACACACCAGCTGAGGCCTGCAGCGCCAGTCAGCTGAGAGCAGAAAGAAGTGAAGAGCGCAGGGGCCGGTGGGAAAGCCGATTTTGCACTTTTTCCTCTTCTTCCTCCTCCCAGCTGATCAGCTAATCGTGGGAGGCATTTTTTTAGAACCAGTAGAATACCACCACTGTGAATGGAAAATAACCTCACGACAACACAATACTTGCGCGGCCGAGCACGACGTGCAATAAGTCAACATGGTGCAATAGGAGTGTGCATTTGTTAGTAGCATTCACAGGGTTTGGGATTTTCTGTCTTCACTGTGAGTTGTATGATGTTGACTTGTATGACATTCACAAAGGGAGGCTCAGCCAATCTGATTGTACGCATGTTGTACTCTGACAATAAAGTTCTTTTTGGCACTCTGACAATAAAGTTCTTTTCTGCGCCAACTCAGAAAGCTCAAACTGCCTAAGGAGCTGCTGATCCAGTTCTACAGAGGAATTATTCAGTCTGTCATCTGCACCTCTGTAACTATCTGGTTTGGTTCTGCAACCCAGCAGGACAGACACAGACTTCAGAGGATAATTAGGACTGCAGAAAAAACAATTACTACCAACCTGCCTTCCATGGAGGACCTGTATCCTGCACGAGTCAAAAAGAGGGCTGTGGAAATATTTACAGACCCCTCACATCCTGGATATATACCCTGTTTCAACTCCTTCCCTCAATACGACGCTACAGAGCCCTGCACACCAGAACAACTAGACACAAGGACAGTTTTTTCCTGAATGCCATCACTTTGCTAAACAAATAATTCCCTCAGCACTGTCCAACTATTTACAAAGTCTGCACTAGTATTACCGTTAATCTTCTCACCACTCCTTATCGCCCATCCCCTCCCACTTGTGACTGTATGACTGTAACTTTGTCGATTGTATTCTTACGATTTATATCGACTGTTTCCTAGTATGATTTGATTGCTTATTGTACCCTATCGCTACCATTAAGTGTTGTATCTGATGATTCTTGACTCTTGATGAATGTATCTTTTCTTTTATGTACACTGAGAGCATTTGCACCAAGACAAATTCCTTGTGTGTCCAATCACACTTGGCCAATAAAGAATTCTATCCATAAAGGTTTGATCTTGAATTCTATTCATCTGAGGATATTGTTTCATCTTCCAACATGCCCAGAGCAGCCCTTGGAGGACCAAACAAGGCAGAGGCTGAACATTGAGTAGATGCAGGGGAGGATGGTGTTAGGGTCGCATCTGATACACCTATTCATTTTTAAAGTAGGGTACACCCTACTTATTGCTGATCTCCTTTTGCAGGGGGGGGAACCCTGGCCATAAAATTTGCTCCGACCCTTACCTTTTGCAGGCTACGCAGAGCGCCACAAAGCAGGCAGAGAGCAGCGACACCCCAGCAATGAAGAAGGGGAACCCAACCACCGGTGCTTCCTCAAAGGCAGACGCCATAAAATGGAGGTCAAAAAGCTGCTTGGCACAGGAAGCTGAAAACAGAGAGGGAGGGAGAGGGAGAGAGAGAGAGAATCAGCCCCTGAAACACAGGTAGTCCTCGACTTGCGACCACAACAGAGCCCCAAAATTTATGTCGCTTAGCGAGACAGAAATTTTGGTTTAAGCGAATTTCGCCTCTTTTCACAAACTTTCTTGCCACACTTGCAGCCGTTCAAGTTAGTAACCCAGTTGTTAAGTGAAATCTGGCTTCCCTGTTGACGTTTGCTTGTCTGAAAGTTGCAAAAGGAGGATCACGTGACCCCAGGGCACTGGCAAGCATCATAAATACGAGTCAATCCCCACGCCTCTGAATTTGGATTGTGTGATTACGGATTGCTACAAAGGTTGTGTGAAAAATGGTCCTAAGTCCCTTTTATCAGCACCGTTATAACTTTGGTCACTAAATGAATCATTGTAAATCGAGGACTACCTGTATTTGCCGGTTGCCAAGCGCCTGAATCACTTTTTTTTCAGAAATCAGCCTTGAGGGCCTTAAGTAATTATCCCTCATATGCCAAATTAGAATATATATGGATTCTAATAAATAAGCATTTTAGTTTAGTTTAGTTTAAGTTTAGTTTAAGTTTAATTTAATTTAGTTTAATTTAATTTAATTTAGTTTAGGTTTATTTTACTTTAGTGTTACTTTAGTTTAGTTTAGTTTTAGTTTACTTTACTTTACTTCTTTACTTTACTTTTTATTGTCATTGCACGTCATACCATGAAATTAAATACCATCTTCATTATGGTTATGAAAATAAACACAAACACACATCCTTCACATTCTGTACATTGAATTGAAAACCCCTGATATTGCAATTATATTGCAATATACAGTAGAATTCAACAGAGCTACTGCCCTGGGATAGAAGCTGTTTTTCAGCCTATTTGTCCTTGTTTTTATTATTTATTATTTTAAAAAGGCTCCAAAGATCTACACTGCTAAAAAAAATAAAGGGAACACAAAAATTAGACATCCTAGATCTGAATGAATGAAATATTCTCATTAAATACTTCGTTCATTACACAGCTGAATGTGCTGACAACAAAATCACACAAAAATTATCAATGGAAATCAAATTTAGCAACCCATGGAGGTCTGGATTTGGAGTTACACTCAAAATAGAAGTGGAAAAAAACACTACAGGCTGATCCAACTTTGATGTAATGTCCTTAAAACAAGTCAAAATGAGGCTCAGTAGTGTGCGTGGCCTCCACGTGCCTGTATGACCTCCTTACAACACCTGGGCATGCTCCAAATGAGGTGGCAGATGGTCTCCTGGGGGATCTCCTCCCACACCTGGACTAAAGCATTACCCAACTCCTGGACAGTCTGTGGTGCAACATGGCGTTGGTGGATGGAGCGAGACATGATGTCCCAGATGTGCTCAATTGAATTCAGGTCTGGGGAATGGGCGGGCTAGTCCATAGCATCAAGGCCTTCGTCTTGCAGGAACTGCTGACACACTCCAGCCACATGAGGTCCAGCATTGTCGCGCTTTAGGAGGAACCCAGGGCCAACCGCACCAGCATATGGTCTCACAAGGGGTCTGAGGATCTCATCTCAGTACCTAATGGCAGTCAGGCTACCTCTGGTGAGCACATGGAGGACTGTGCGGCCCCCTAAAGAAATGCCACCCCACACCATTATTGACCCACTGCCAAACAGGTCATGCTGGAGGATGTTACAGGCAGCAGAACGTTCTCCACGGCGTCTCCAGACCCTGTCACGTCTGTCACATGTGCTCAGTGTGAACCTGCTTTCATCTATGAAGAGCACAGGGCACTAGAGGCGAATTTGCAAATCTTGGTGTTCTCTGGCAAATGCCAAACATCCTGCACGGTGTTGGGCTGTAAGCACAACCCCCACCTGTGGGACGTCGGACCCTCATACCACCCTCATGGAGTCTGTTTCTGACTGTTTGAGAAGCCACATGCACATTTGTGGCCTGCTGGAGGTCATTTTGCAGTGCTCTGGCAGTGCTCCTCCTGTCCCTCCTTGCACAAAGGCGAATGTAGTGGTCCTGATGCTGGGTTGTTGCCCTCCTATGGCCTCCTCCATGTCTCCTGATGTACTGGCCTGTCTCCTGGTAGCGCCTCCATGCTCTGGACACTACGCTGACAGACACAAGCAAACCTTCTTGCCACAGCTCGCATTGATGTGCCATCCTGGATGAGCTGCACTACCTGAGCCACTTGTGTGGGTTGTAGACTCCGTCTCATGCTACCACTAGAGTGAAAGCACCACCAGCATTCAAAAGTGACCAAACCATCAGCCAGAAAGCATAAGAACTGAAAAGTTATTGGGGATGTCTTGCTAACTGCCTCTGCTTTCCACCTGTTGTCTATTCCACTTGCACAACAGCATGTGAAATTGATTGTCAATCAGTGTTGCTACCTAAGTGGACAGTTTGATTTCACACAAGTGTGATTGACTTGGAGTTAACATTGTGTTGTTTAAGTGCTCCCTTTATTTTTTTGAGCAGTGTATATTGAATCAAGAACAGACAGATGTTTTCTCTTACCATTTTTTTTGGCTTCTTTTAACTTTTATTTTATTTTAATTTGTACTTTAATTAAGATCCACTTAGTTGAGGGTGCTTTGTCCTTATGCCTGTCCTTCCCTGGGAAATTGGTGACTTATGTTATGACCATTCTTCAACTTACAACAAGCTCATTTAGTGACCGTTTGAAGTTCGAAGTTACAACGGCAATGAAAATACTAACTTATGACTATTTTCCACACTTCCGGCCATGGGCATGTGATCAAAATTCAGATGCTTGGCCACTGACTTGCATTTATGACGGTTGCAGAGTTCCTGGGTTCACATCATGATCTCCTTTTGCAACCGTCTGACGAGCAAACGAAGGAGCCGGGCTCACTTAGCAACCGGGTTAAAATCTTAATTTTCAGCTTGTGAGCTTTTTAATCTCCTTACTGGTTGATACATTCCTCACCAGAGAACGAACATAGCTCATGGAGCCACCATCTTCTATAACATCCCTACACTTTGATCAGTTAGTAAATCAGGGGTCTCCAACCTTGGTCACTTTAAGCCTGGAGGACTTCAACTCCCAGCAAAAGCTGGCTGGGGAATTCTGGGAGTTGAAGTCCTCCAGGTTTAAAGTGACCAAGGTTGGAGACCCCTGAGTTAGTCTGTCTTCACCATGTCACACCTTCTTCTCCTTAAGTTTGTTAACTATTCACCTCTTTCTTCCTACTGGCTTGAGATGAGTTGAAGGATTAGAAGATGAACAGATCCCTCGTGCTTGATTCTCCAAGGTCTCTAAAATTGACACAAATTAAGATCTGTGGACTTCAACTCCCAGAATTCCCCAGCCGGAACAGCTGACTGGCTGAGGAATTCTGGAAGTTGAATTTGTGGACTTCAATTCCCAGAATCCCCCAGCCAGCATCATTCTTCTTTTCATTAAACCAGATATATCCAATTCCTTTCTTTATATATATTTTAACCTCTGGTCTCCTAATCCTCTTTGTTGCTCTTCTCTGCACTCTTTCCAGAGTCTCAACATCTCTTTTATAGAATGTTACACCTGGGTGTCACACATGAAAAAGTTACTTATACAATGCAAAGCTGGAAATGTGCATCATTTTGAACCATACAGGTCTTGGGTGTCCTTTTTGCAGTTCCCATGTTTATATAATGCACAATGCCCTGACATCTGCACTCTGAAACAAACACACACACACACACATATACACACACGTCTTATTCTTTACTACCAGCATAAACATAAATATTTGTCTGCTCACAATGCTCTTCCAATATAGAGCACTGTGTGGTATAATTTTTCTCCCTTCTTGTTCTCCCCCAATTCATTTTTTCTGTATGTTCTGGAGTTATGCCACATTTTACTGAACAATAGAATAGAATAGAATACTTTTATTGTCGTTGCATTCCACAAATACAATGACGTCTGAAAGCTACTCCAGCACAGTGCCCCAAACACCACATCACAATCACACTACAGAGTATTTAAAATAATAATAATAATAATAATAATAATAATAATAATAATAATAAACCTAGTCGAAAACCTATCTAAAACATTTAGTAAGTTAAATAGTTTAAAAATGCCACTATATACATAGGACTAAATCACAAATGCACTGCTTGATTCAAGACAATTACTGCCTTGGAAAAGAAACTGCTTCTCAATCTATTAGTCCTCACTTTAAGACACCTATAACGCCTCCCTGATGCTAACAGATCAAAATATGAATGTCCAGGATGAGAACGGTCTGTGGAGATTTTTAGCGCTCTAGAGCGGAGTCTGGTCTTCGCAATCTCTTCCAAAGAAGAAAGTAGAAGCTGCGGTAGAAGCATTAAGTTCTGATCCTGCTCAGCCAATGGATGACCAAAGCTGGAGAGAACTATTCCAAGTGTGGCCTTATCAAGGTGATATTAAAACTTCCCGTGATCTTGATTCTATCTGTTCATGCAGCCTAGGATTGCATTGGCTTTTTTGGGGGTAGCTGCAGCACAACCCTGGCTCCTAGTTCATCGATTTGTCCACCAGGACTCCAAGATCACAAACCCAACCCCGTTGGCGTAGAAACGGACCAAGGGGCCTTCAAAGAAGAGAAGGGGGACACACAGCCAAATTGCAGTGTCCACAGAGACAACTTACTTCACTCGTTCGAGAACCGCAGGAAGCCAAAGTCAACTTTTATAGTCTTTCTCACTCGGGCGTAACCGTTTCTCATGGATCTTCTTCTTGCAGGTTGGACCTTCTTGTAGACGTCCTTCAAGCCAGAACTCCCAACTCCCGCTTGGAGGCCCTTTTCTGCTTGCTGGAGGGAACCAACCCCCCCCCCAGCTCTCTCTCTCACACAGCCGTTTTCAAGAGAAGGTATGAAGTGCACCAGCCCAACAGCGCAGCAGTCAAAAGATAATGCTTCGGTTTCCTGGCCACGACGTGACCCAATGACAAAGCGACTGTTTGAAACCGAACAACTGAAAAGCACCCAGATCTGGTGGGTTAGGCAGGGAGTGAATCAGCTATAGGTAGTCCTGGTTGAGCCTGGGATTTCTGTTGCTAAGTGAAATATTTAGCAATAGCCCTTAGACTTATGTACCGCTTCGCAGTCCTTTACAGCCCTCTCTAAGCGGTTTACAGAGTCAGCCTCTTTGGCCCCCAACAATCTGGGTCCTCATTTTACTGACCTTGGAAGGATGGAAGGCTGAGTCCAACCTTGAGCCGGTCAGGATCAAACTCCTGCCAGTTAGTCTGCTGTATTGCATTTAGATAGATACCATAGATAGATGAGAGAGAGAGGGAGGGAGGGAAAGAGAGGAGGGAAGGGAGAGAGAGGAAAAGAGATGGGGGGGGAGAAGGGAAAGAGAGAAGGAAATAGGGGGAGGGGAAAGACAGAGGGAAGGAAAGAGGAGGGGAAAGAAAGAGAGAGAGAGAGAGAGAGAGAGAGAGAGAGAGAACAATAACAACAGCACATAGATTTATATGCCACTTCGCAGTGCTTTTACAGCCCTCTCTAAGCGGTTTTACAGAGTCCGCCTATTGCCCCCAACCATCTGGGTCTTCATTTTACTCACCTTGGAAGGCTGGAGGCCTCAGTCAACCTGGAAGAGGTAGCCTGCAATACTGCATTTAGAGAGATACCGTAGATAGATGAGAGAAAGAGGGAAGAGGGGAGGGGAAGAGAGCGGGGGGGAGAGAAAGAGAGAGAGAGGGAGGGAGTGAAAGAGACAGAGGGAGGGGGAGAAGGGAAAGAGAGAATGAGAGGGAGGAAGGGAAAGACAGAGGGAGGGAAAAAGAGAGAGGGGGGAGGGAAAGAAAGAGAGAGAGAGGACAATAGCAATCGCACTTAGACTTTAAATACCGCTTCATAGAGGTTTGCAAGCCTTCTCTAAGCGGTTTACAGGGTCAGCCTCTTGCCCCCTAACAATCTGGGTCCTCATTTGACCCACCTCGGAAGGAGGGAAGGCTGAGCCAACCTTGAGCCTGGTGAGATTCGAACTGCCAAATTGCAGGCAGCCGGCAGTCAGCAGAAATAGCCTGCAGTACTGCGTTCTCACCACTGCGCCCACATGGCTCATAGATCTTTACAGAAATGGCTTGTTCATGTTATTATGAAAAAAAAAAGTTGTGATTTGATGTTAATGCCTTATTCTACTGCAACGGAGAGAGTCGCAAGTCCTCGAATGAATGACCGTTGTATCACTCCAACGGTCACGGTGGGATACAAATTTTTTGACTACCAGTTCTGTGGGCGTGGCTTGGTGGGCGTGGCAGGGGAAGGATACTGCAAAGTCCCCTTTCCCTCCCCAGCCCACTAACCTGC